ACTTAAAGGCATCCAGTTCCTCCAAGTGACTCTGCACCATCTCAGGGTCTACGCATGGTAGTCTGGTGCCCTGCTGCTGCCTCTCTACAATCCCAGTGAGAGACTTGTCTTGCCCCTCTCTTAGGAACACTGAGGCAAAGAACTCATTGAGGAGTTCAGCCTTGTCCCCCTGTCCATCACTAATTGCTTCTGCCCATTTAGTAGGGGTCCTATTCCACCCTGGGCCTTCCTTTTACTCCCTATATATCTAAAAAACAATTTTTTGTTATCCTTAACTTGGGATGCCATCCTCAGCTCCATGGTAGCTTTGGCCTGTCTAACTGCCTCCCTACAAACACGAGCAGAGGAGGTATACTCCTCTTTAGTAATCTCTCCCCGTTTCCACTTTTTATATGCCCCCCATTTTGCCCATAGGCTGCTCTGGATTTCTCTGGTCAGCCAAGGAAGCCTCTTGGCCCTTTTCCCCCTTTTTTCTCCGCATCAGGATCATCTCCCTCTATGCCCGAAGGATCATTTCCTTAAGGCACAGCCACCCTTCCTGGGCTCCCATCTCTTCAAAACTCTTATTCTGCAGTGCGTCCTTGACTAAACGCCTGAGTTCATTGAAATCAGCTTTCCTAAAGTCTAGCACTTTCACCCTATTAGTTACCTTACCCACTCAACGTCTTATGATGCCATCTTTAGAGCTTCTTACCAGAACTGAGAGATCATGGCCAATGATAAAGTTTTTCCACCCACGTCACTTGGACCCAATACAGTGAATCCTCATTACATTCCTAGAATGCTTGGATAGTGGGTGGCTGGTGGCTCTGACTCTGTGCAGCTGGATGACATATCACAGCAACATGTAGGTTGCAAGATCTTCAGGGCTATTAATATAGCTGATGAGGGAGATAGGAACAGATTATTTTGACAAGAGCAAGTTAGTAATTGCTGTCACACTTGTGTAGGCAATTATGTTAAAAGATGTATCACTACTCCATGAGACCAAGGGGCAGACCAATGCCTATTTAGGAAGGATAAGGAGAGCCTGGTCAAATAGGTACTGGTGTTATTCACCAGAATGGCCCTTCCCAACCTTCTGCATGGCTGGATGGGCATCACTACAGACACTGGAATAAAGAACAAGGTAGCTCTGCTGTGTAATGTAAAAGAAGGGTGACCATACATCCCAGTTTGGCTAGGACAATCCTAGATTTCGGAGGCTGGTAGTGGCCATCTGGTGGAAATTAAAATGAGAGTCCTAGGTGTAGGGCACAGGGCATGGAGCACAGTCTGGTGGGGAGGAGGTCAGACTACATGAAAACGTCACTTTTAATATTTGGAATACAAAATTCTGAAACTCCTCATTCAGAGGCGATACTTTTTATTAGACCAACTAGAAAATAGCAACAAAAAAAAGTATCTTTTTTTTCAAGCTTTTGGGCAGACATACCTTTTTCAAGCTGAGGGGAAATTAAAGATGGTAAAAGTCCCCTTAGGTAGAAAATAAACTTCATTTTGCACAGAGGAGGCTGAAGTTGAATGTATGCTCCTCTGAATCTGTGAGAGGGGTCCATTTGTGTGAGCTACTCTTTGATGTGCAGATAAGGGATGTGCAGTTCCCTTCCCTGGTTGTGCAGTTTCTCTTCTCTGGTGGTGTCAGATGGCAGAAAGGCTGGAAGGTGTAAAAATTTTGCTTTCTTGTTTAGCAATGAAGTTTATAATTTCAAGGAATGGCTAAAATCTGGTATCTTCCATGTTTCAGGGATCTGTTTTATAGCCATGCTGGTTTGAGACAAGAAGGAATACAAAACTCTAAAACTCTTCATTCAGAGTATTTTCAGAATACTTTCAGTATTTGGAAGGAATGAAGGGGTGGTTACAGTAGTTGACTAGGAATGATAAATGGCATGGGGGGCATTTACGGGCACAAGGAGGGGTCAAGAAGCTAGGAGGAATCAGAGAACTTTAAATGCTCATGGCAATAGTAGAATTTTGAAGAGTTCGCCCTACCTGCAAGGTCATTATTTTGAGCACACAGGAAGGGGAAGAAGGCTGCCAGAATGGAAAAGGAAGAGGAAGGTGGGGGAGTGTCATCTGTCAGCATCCTCTCAGGGGATCCATTCAGATTCTTGCCTAATTAAGAAGTCCTGGCTTTGGGACAACATTTCTTCATCCAAGTCCCAGAATCCTCACCATTCTATATTGCACTGATCTCAGTAATGGTATCCCATTATGAAATCTTGTCCAGGCCCTTCTCATACAAACAGATGGCAAAGTTCTTCTGTAGACCCATGATCTCTTGTCACCGGCTTTCTTGAAAGTTGTTTTGATCCAGCATTGAAGAGTGCCACAGGTGTGACCTAGGTTGGCCTTGCCTTTGGCAGGGGCTTCATAACTATCCTTGTTGAAATGATTCCTCAGGGTATGAGAAAATGAAGGGCCTTGGGGTGGCTTTAAAAGGATGCTTCAAGAATAGCCCGGTGCCACAGTGCAGTAGTGGTAGCTATAGAATCACAGGATCATAGGAAAGTAGAACTGGATGGGATCTCATGAGGTCTAGCCCAGCCAGTGGTGGATTAAGATTAATTGGGGCCCTGGGCAAACAGTAAATTGGAGGCCCCCACGCCCCATTACACACATGAATGTATCAAGAAGCATTAATAAATAGACCCATTAAATACAGTGTCCTGGCTGTCCTTAAGGAGATCAAATGCAGCACCTTTCAGGGGCAAGAAAATTGCAAACACTCCTCCTCTCCCTCCTCTCCCCCCCCATACAGCATCCTCCAAATTCTTCACCTCAGGCTCTGAGGAACCCTGCCAAACTGCTTTAAGCTTGGATCATCAGTGCAGACTGTCTTCCTCCATGCTTAGTCAGGGCTTTCTTCCCGCTTTCTGCTACCAACGTTTCTTTGGAAGCCAGAATTATATTACCTTTCCAGAACAGCTCCCATAGGCTACTGGGAGGTGACAGAGTCCATCCTCTCCAGAACAGCTCCCATAGGCTACTGGGAGGGGACAGAGTCCACCCCCCAGCTCTATCTTCCATCATAAAAAAGGGGGGAGTCAGCTTCCTGGGTGCCACTAACTGCAGGAAGGACAGGTTCTGTGCACAGTAGGAACTATCACAGGAAGCTCCTGAGTTCCTTAGTTTCTGAGTCTAAGGTTGGAGCACCCTAATTAGCACTTAAACCAATGCTCCAACCTAAATCACCCAGTATTCTTTTCTTGCAACAAGAGCACACCGTTTGCTCATATTCAGCTTACGGTCTACTGTCACTAGCCAGTTGGTTCCCAGTCTGTATTTGTGCATGCAATTATTCCATCTCAAGTGCATGACTTTGCAATTGTCCTTTCTTAAATCTCTTCTAATTGATAGCAGACCATTTCTGCATAGGCAACACGCAGAGAGGGCATGGGGGGTGGTGTTGGGGAGGGCACGTGCCTCTCCCTGAGAGCACTGGTACCCCTCCTGAGAGCAATCTATTGAGATCATTCTGGGTCCTAACCCTTCTCTCTGGAATATCTGCAGCTCCACCCAGTTTGATGCCATCCACAAGCTTGTTAAGCTTACACTCAATCCCATTGTCAAATTATCATTAATTAAGACATTATACAATACTACATAGGACAGATCTGTGGGGAACCCCACTTGGTATCTCCTCCCAACTAGACATTGAGCCATTGAGGATTAGGCATTGAGCACAAGGATCCAAACAGTTATGTAGCCACCTTACAGTATTTTCATCTAGTCTGTATTTCCCTAGTTTGTGAATGAGAATGTTGTAAGAGTGTCCAAAGCTTTGCTAAAGTCAAAGTAGATTACACCCACACATCTAGCTTCTGTAAGTAATCCCTAACCTGTTCTGTCATTACTTTAAGCTGTTTGTCTCCTTCCCTATCTTTGCTGCCAACTGCACTTGTCACCTGCTTACTGCCTCTGTTTGTAAAAACTGAAGTAAAAAGACATTAAATAACTTCAGCCTTCTCTGAACTGTGCACAACCAAATTGCCTTCCACGTTCAGTAAGGGACCTGCGGTTTCTCTGGTCTTCCTCTTACTTTGGACATACTTGGAGAATCTTTTTTTATTGCCTTTTATGCCCCTTGCCAGCTGCACATGCCTTGGTCTTCCAAATTTTCTCCCTGCATGCCCATGCGATACTCTTTTATACTTTTCCCTAATACTATGAACAAGTTTCCACTCTTTATAGGATTCCTTTTTTTTGAGTTAAAAATTATTGAAGAGATTGCTGTCTAGCTGGGCTGGTTTCCTGTTGCACTACCCATGTTTCATTCTGTTGGGATAGCTTGCTTCTGCACCCTTAAGAAGGTCTCCTGAAAGTACAGCCAGCAATCCTGGTCTCCTTTGCCTCTCAGACTTTCCTCCCAGCGTTTGCTAAGGTCTGCTTTTCTGAAGTCCATGCTAATGCTAGCTCCATGTATGCTGAGGCACATGCAACTACATATGAACTGATCCTAGCTGTGCACCAACGTTTAAAAAGGGAGGTATTATCTGGTCAACCTGACCCATGCATCATGGAGGGCACATAGGCAAACAGACCAGTCAGTCCTGGTAGCATACAAAGCACTATGGAATAGCAACACACAGTACAGGTAAGCCCACAAGGTTAGTATATGTTAAGTTACTAACAACAAACTTGGTACGCTTTCAAATAAGAGTATAGACTACACATTTGCACACCAGTGAAATTGTATTGTAAATTGTAATTGTAACAGAATTGTGTTGTGTGAATGCAGGCCATTTCAATGCACATACAGTGGGGTTAGTGCGAACTAACCCCGCTCCATATAGACAAGCCCTGAGTAATAACAGCTGGAATTAAACTTTAATTGTAGCTGTGCTTTAGTTTTCCTTCCTAGTTCCTTGCAAAGCTGCTCACATGGAGCTCAGTTGCAACTTTGCCACAAATCTGGAGTAAAAAACAGTATGTAGCTGCCTAAGAGTTACAATCTAGGGTTTCAATATTCACTTGCCCTAGGAGGGTAAATAATCAACACCACTAAACTGTATTTTCTTGACTCTGGAAAACAGCCTTGTCCTGGCCCTTGCTTCTAACTCACATGCACAGAAGATACTATCAGCCAGTCAGTGCTACCCAGGATGTGAGTAGATTGCTCAGGCATATATAGACTAGCTTCCTCCTCCTGTATGTGGAACTGTAGCCAAGATCAGAATCAGCTCCAAAGTTACAAGTTTTTTCTTGCAAAATACATTTTGATGCTTACCTTCCCCTGGAAATATCTCTCTCCCATAAATACACAGTTTATAGCCACATTTATTTTCTAGAACATCTGGCAGAATCTGGTGAACAAAATCATCCACAAAATTAGCTTTGCTAGTGGCATCTGTGGGGTAGATAACATATGCATCATACATCTTGCCATCTGCAAGTTAAAACAGGGGAGAAGCACAAGGCTTTTAGTATGAATTAGAAGCTATTTCAAGAGTTAAAAGAGAAAAAAAAATGTTTTTTTAATAACAATAAAAAATAAATATTATTTATTATCAATAAATAATTGATCTGTATTTCATTAGATCATCATATTAAAAAGAATATTGTTAACCAGTATGAGGGTTTACATTCTAACAGGAATGCACAGCAAGTTTTGGTGTTCCACCATTATGACTTAGGCCCCAGTCCTACAAACATTGAATTCTGTGTGAAACTTTGCAGGATCATTGCCTTTGTGTGCTAAAAGCTCTGTCCCAAGGACCAGTGATCCAGAATGGTCATATAGTAAGGATTAAAGAAGCTAATGGACCTCAGCATGAATCCAGTATATCTATCAGAATTTGTTCCTTCAGTGGCAGTATGTGTTAACATATTTTACTGTCCTAAGACCATATACGTCATTTGAATTCTTTCTGCTTGTAGAATGAGCTGCTCACTCCCACAACACCTTACATGTTTGAAGGAAGAAACAGTTCACTTGGAAACAGCTGGTGTTGCCCAATTTAAATTCTCATAAAACATAGGATTGGAAGGGACCTCAGGAGACATTCAGGTCAATCCCCTGCATGAAGGCAGGATGTGCTATTTCCAAATTATTCCAGACAAAATATCTATCTGAGTCTTTTCTTGGAAGCCTTCAATGAAGCAGATGCCACAGCATTCCTGGTCAGAGTCCTCTCCATTGACTCTTTTTTTGCCTTTTCCCCTCTTCCATTTCCTTTCTACTCCAATCACAAACCCTATGTAGCCCAATCCACCTCTTCCTTCTTCTCCTTGACTGATCTTTGTTCCTTTGACTTCAGGCATAATTAGGAATGTTGGTACTAAGATCTAATTTATATCAAAGGTGCCATGCAAAAGAAAAGTAAATAATGGTCTGTTAGATAGGGAAAAAAGGTGCATATAGTTAAGGAAAGATATTCCATAATTAACTCAGGGAGCAATAACATCCTAATGGAGTGCTTTGTATTAGTTTACCTCCATTTGCAATATAACAGCCAGGGCTATGTCCTGCAAGTCTTTACTTACAATAAATATAAAATGTTTTCTCCCCAAAACATTTAATCATGCTTAAAAACACAACATATTTAAAAATGTGTTATCAGCTTTGTGTGTATGTATGTGGGTACTTTTTTGCTTTGATTCATAAAAGCTGTTGTTATTCCATTAATATTTGGACATTCCATGCTCCAAGAACTTTTAAACAATTGAAATCAGTAACTATATATTTATATATCATCAACTAATGGGAGACTATCACCCAGGACTGCCTCAAATGAAGGAACAGTCATCTGCAAGGATCTCAGTACTTGAAACCTTATGATGACACCAGGAGATAGAAAAGCGGGAGCAGTGGAAACAGCATGGCAAACTGAATCAAGAATCAGGAACCACCCACCCCACGTGGAAACACATGCCCAAGTTGCAGCAGAGTCTATCGATCCCAGGTCAACCTTATCAGCCATCTTTGGACCTACAGATAAGACACTCATAGAAGACAATCATCTTCAACTCTGCGAGTTGCCGAAAAAGAAAAGTTATCATATGGGAAAATTAGTTATTTTCCTTCAGAATGTAACATACCAAAGAGGATTTTCTGTGGGTTTAAATGTTCTGTTGCATAGCACTTTAATAACAGCACTTGAAAAGAACACACGAGAAACCAAGAGCTTTGCCCAGGGATTGCAAGATAGGTGATCTAGAGCTAATGCATCTTGAATCTGTAAATCCAAATACTTTTTTTCCCTCCAATTGCTAAATTTAGAAAACAGCCTGCAGCTACATGTAAAGGGTCTGATTCTTTGCTGTTGTGTACATTGTTTAGACATTTATACTTGCACAAAGTGGCTATATGAACAACATGAGTATTAGGGTTGCTCCTTAAGGAAGCAATCCAAGAAGCACAAGGGGAGTCCATCCCAACCTGTAGGAAAGGTGATAAAAGGGATCAACAACCCCCTTGGCTCTACAGGGAATTCATGGACCTTGTATGTCTAAATAGAGAGGCTTATAAAAGATGGAAAACAGGAAACACCACTAAGCAGGAGTATTCTGCACTGGTCCGCACCTGCAGGGAACAAACTAGGAAAGTCAAGGCTGTAACTGAACTTCAACTGGCTACACAAATCAAGGACAATAAATAGTCCTTCTTCAGTTACGTAGGGAGTCAAAAGAAAAACAAGGGCAACATGGACCCCCTGCTAAACCAGCTTGGACAGCTGACTATTAACACCTAGAAAAAAAACAAGCTACTTAATGATTACTTTGCGTCAGTTTTTCACCAGCCCAAAGGGACCACCCTGCCTAACATGATGACCAGGGTGAGGGTGAATATATGCCCACCATTGGCATAGATCTTGTGAGGGAGCATCTTGAGAGGCTGAACCCCCACAAATCAGCTGGTCTGGATAGATTGCACCCAAGAGTGCTAAAGGAACTGGCAGACATCATAGTCCAGCCACTGGCAAGGATACTTGAGAACTCATGGCACTTGGGTGAAGTATCTGAAGTTTGGAAGAGGGACAATGTGGTGCCCAACTTCAAGAAAGGGAGGAAAGAAGACCCAGGAAACTACAGGTCAATCAGTTTGACCTCAATCCCTGGGAAGATTTTGGAAAAAATGATCAAAGAAACATTCTTCACAGGCTAACAGAAGGCATCATTCTGAGGGATAGCCAGCACGGGTTGTTGCAGGTAGGTCTTGTTTAACCAATCGCATTTCCTTCTATGACCAGGTGATGTATCACCTGGACAAAAGGGAAGAGGTTGATATCATATATTTGGACTTTAAAAAAGCTTTTGACTTGGTGCCCCATGATGTCCTCATGGAAAAATTGGGCAACTGTGGCCTCAACTATTCCACAGTCTGGCGTCTGGGGAACTGGCTCCAAGTTCGGACCCAGAAAGTGCTAGTTGACAGAATTGAATCAACATGGCAGTCAGTGACTAGTGGTGTCCCCCAAGGCTCCATTCTTGGACCTATACTCTTTAATGTCTTCATAAATTATCTGGACACTGGTGTCAGAAGCAGACTGGCTAAGTTTGCTGATGACACCAAGCTTTGGGAAAGAGAGTCCACACTTGAGGATAGGCTGGTGATCCAAGCCGAACTAGATAGGCTTGCAAGGTAGGTGAATGAAAACCTGATGACATTCAATACAGAGAAATGCAAGGTGTTCCACATTGGGAAAAAAACCCACATCACACTTATAGTCTCAGCAATGCTACACTCACTAGCACCATGACCAAAAGAGACTTGGGGGTCATGATTGACCACAAGGTTAACATGAGCTACCAATGTGATACCGCAGCTGGCAAAGTGAACAAAACTCTGACTTGTATCTACCAATGCATCTCGACCAAGATCCAGGATGTCATCCTCCCACTGCACTCGGCCTTGGTGAGGCCTCAGCTGGAGTACTGTATCCAATCCTGGGCTCCACAATTTAGGAAGGATGTGGAGAAGCTTGAGAGAGTCCAAAGGAGAGCCACACGCATGATCAGAGGGCAAGAGAACAGACCTTATGAGGAGAGGCTGAGAGCCATGGGACTCTTCAGCCTGGAGAAGCGCAGGCTCAGGGGTGACTTGGTGGCAGCCTATAAGTACATAAGGGGTGTGCATCAAGATCTGGGGGAACTCCTGGTCACCAGAGCACCCCACGGGATGACAAGGTCTAATGGTCACAAACTCCTCCAAGACCATTTTAGGCTGGACGTAAAAAGAAACTTCTTTACTGTCTGAGCCCCAAGGCCTGGAACAGACTCCCCCCAGAGGTGGTGCAAGCACCTACCTTGGACATTTTTAAGAAACATTCGGATGCTTATCTTGCTGAGATCCTTTGACCCTAGCTGACTTTCTGCCCCTTGGGCAGGGGGCTGGACCCGATGATCTTATGAGGTCCTTTTCAGTCTTAATGTCTATGAAATCTATGAAATCTATGAAAATGGTACTCTTATGCCCTTGTGTTGTGTCAGGTGTAAATGACCTACAAACTATAAGAAAGTGAAGAAGAATCAGACCCAAAGTACATATCATCCACCTATGTAATTGAATTATTTAACAGCAGTTTATCTCCTTCACTTATCTTTTTTCCCAAAAAGCCCTTCCACAATTCTTACTCACCATCCTTGGTTGTGTAGGGGTTAAATATCTTCCGATACAGGAGGACAATATCAATTAGGAAAAAATGGTAAAATACGATCAACAGCACTATCATAACTAACAAAATAAGAAACCCTATGATCATGTAGGTACGGTGATGATTGACTGCAAAGAAAAAGAAACAAAATATGATAACATTAGCATGAAATAAACTGATTTTAGCATCCAAGCCTCAGTCTCACACCCATACTCCAGAAATTATGTGAAGAAGTAGGGAAATTATAACAGTCTCCTCTTTTCCAGCAAGCAGAAGCATTAGCTCCAGTGCTAAAAGGTGGGTCAGGGACTGTGTGGTGGGACAGGAATATTATAGTCACTGCACTGGAAGGTCTCTCCATATTGGCCTACTTCCCAGAGATGATATTGTAACTGGATGAGGTTCACAGCCTTCCTCTGCCAGGTGCAATTCAGCTACTACATTAAGATGCCTTCCCCCAATGGCACTTTCCAATCAATGGTAGCATCAACTAATATGGGGGGAGAGCCTTCCCATCTGTCGTATTCACAGAAATCACATCAGAGGAAGGGAATGTGGATTATACAGTGAGGGACTCTGTTATTGGTTACCTACCTTAGGTATTTAATTTGGTTTATTTAAGCTTTTTCTACATTAAACAACTAATATTAGATTGTTTACTTTTGCCTTTTAATCTGCTTCATTTACATTTCTAACATATTCCCACATTATAAATTGAACAAAAAGAAGTTTTTAAATACTCCCATGACATAAAATAAAGATCACTTCACAGTCACCTTTAATACCCACTGTATGGGAACATAAGAAATGCTATATACTAGGTCAGACCCTGGGTCCATCTGGCCCTTTCTCTCATAGATGCAAAAGTGGATGCTAAGATAAAAGTATTTAAGTGAGTCACACCTAAACTGACTGATCCCCTGGCACATTCCTTCTACAGTTTCTGGCATTCAGAGGACAAGAAAGTCCTAATTTTGGAATTGCGCTCCAAACTATCACATTTAATACCCACTGATAGACCTATCCTCCATGAATTTGTCCACTCAGCTTTTGAACCTGATTAAATATTAGCCTGCACAGCATCCTATAGCAATGAAAGATTAATTACACACTGTGTGAGAAAAAAACTTTATTTTATAGCAGCTGCGTAATGAGTTCCGAGTATGTCCCCTAGTTCTTGTACAGAGAGAAATATAATAAATAGCAAATCCCCATTCATTTTCTCCATTTCATTCATGATTTTATAGATCTCTGTCATGTCCCACTTAAGTCAGTTTCTTTTCTAAGCTGAAAACCCTTATCCCATTTAGGGCCTTGTTACACATTCATTTTAGGTGGCTCCTAGAACTCTTAACTCCTGGATTGTCCACATATTCCACTCCAGGGCAGGTTTAGCTCTGATCCGTGTTACCCAGCTCATGTTCCACTAATGTGTGGGGCCATTCCCCATAAATGAATTGCCCAAGTTGCAGTCCTTCAGCATCCCAGGATGCAATGTCTCCTTCCCCACCCTCCTGCTCTGTGTGGACAAATGCTGAACTCTGCTGCCCAGAGAGCAGTTCTGGCACCAAGCCAACTTCCCCTCGCTCTTCCAGGGGTGTGACCTTCCCAGCCCCAGGAGTGCAACCCTGTACAAACAGGTTGCAGAGCACGTCAGCTACCCAGGTTGCAGGACACATTAGAGTCCTAGAATGGAGTCTAGAAGGGGTGGGGGAGGAACAAGATAGGGGGCTGGATTGGATACCCATGATCTGGGGCTTCCTTCCTGGGGCAGGGACAGTAGTTCCCCCACAATTGCCTTCCTTCACCACTCCCACCTCCCAGCCACCCCGGGAAGCATGACCAGCAACCCCACACCCCAATCCTAAATCCCAATTTATTAAAACATGAGACCTTCTTTAATTTACTGCCTTTTTATTTCTTGTTAAATTCTTTTTTTTTTTTTTTTTATTTTATCTGTTGGTATCTGAGGGCATTTATACATGTACCTTTTTGTCCTGTAACACACTGGAGATCCACCGCTTTGGAGCAGACTTGATTAATCGAGTCTGCACCGCATGCAAGCTGACGCACTGTGCTGTGTCTCATGCAGTTGTATAAACAGCAAAATGCACATGAGCATGCAGAAAATGGCAGTAGTGTGCTTTTGAACTAAATCACCTCCAAGGTGTTTTAGTTCAAAAGTGCACCACTGCCATTTTTTTCACGCTGACACACATTTTGCCACTTACACAACCGTATGCACTGCAGCGCCAGGCACTTTTCAAAGCACCCAGCACTGCAGTGCTTGCACATGTAAAAAAGCCCTGACTTCTTTCATTTCTCCACTCTTCCCCCATTCCCATTTCTTTTACACACCTTCCATTTCATTACTCGCTCCTATCCCATTACCCACTCCCATTAACTCTCTGCCTCCCAGCTTCATGTTCCTGGCTCTCCCCCCTCATCCCTTCCTCTCCCCAAATCAATTTCTCCCCCATCCCAACCCAGAGCAGGGATAAAAGCCTGTCCTTGCTCACTAGCCCTGTAGTGGCAATTCAGAGCTGTATGTCCTAGTCAGGCCCTTGCTCAGCAGCCCTCAACTGACAAGTCACAGCTGTGCAGGTGAGGGGCAGTCAGAGAAGGTTTTTAGCCTGAAGGTGTAACTAATCCAAACTTGAGCTAACACTAACACTGATCAGCATTTGAGCAGCTAAAAGTACAACATGCAACAAGGCTTTCAGTCTAGAGGCAGAGGCAGGATCACCCTTGTTGCCCTTCTCTGCATCTTTTCTATCTCTATTATATCCTGTCTGTTCTGGGGGAGACCAGAACTGCATATAGTTTTCAAGGTGTGGGCATAGCATGGATTTATGCGTTGGCATAATGACATTTTCTGTTTGTTTTCAATTTCTTTCTTAATAATTTCTAACATTCTGCTTGCTCTTTTTACTTTTTGACAGAGAACTATCCACAATAATCCCAAGATCCCTTTCCTGAGCAGTAATCGCTAACAGACACCATCGCTGTATATGTGCATCACGGTTTATCCTTTTCCACGTGCATCAGTTTGCATTTATGAATATTGAAACTCATCTACCATTTGGTGACTGTTCATTCAATTTTGTTAGATCCTGCTATGGTTTTTCACAATCATTGTTTTTTTTGCCACCCAGAATAATTTTGTCATCCACAGTCTTGACCCCCTCACCATTCACTCCCACCTTGCCAAATAATTTTCAAAAATGTTAAACAGCACAGGGCCCAGCACAGACCTTTGTGGGATCCCACTGTTTATGTCCCTCCATTGTGAGAACTGGTCATTTATACTTACTCTTTGTTTCCTATCATTTAAGCCAGTTATAGATCTGTACATGGAACTTCTTGAAATAGCAGAAATAGTACTGTTCAGTTTCAAAAGCCACTTCTAAAAATACTTTCATGGCAATGGTAGGCTTAATAGTTCATTTTGATTTTTTTTGAAAAAACAATTTGGCTTTCTTGGATTAAATCCTTGTTTGATATAAGTGGGCATATTTCCACAGAATTCATCTTTTTCAGTTTCGATTAGGTCATACAATTCATGCCAAGAGCCAGTTAATCTAAAAGTGTCTGGCTTTAAGAGAATTACCTGATAACACACTAAAGAAATCCACAAAAATATTATCAACTCTGGAAACTAGAGAAGGAGGGTACAAGTCACTAGTGGGAAAATTACTTAAAGATGAAATGAATTTTCATAGGAAAGCTAAAGGATTAAAAATGCCTCTGGGATTACTAAAATGTGATTTAAGCTCAAAGATCCCAAAGATCATACAGGGAATTATTATCATTATGAATAATATTCAAAATTCTGTGGGTAATTTTGCTGAATGTTGCTGAATCTGGAGAAAAATTTTTTTTTTTTCGTGGGGGATATTTTTAAAAACAGGATTAACATTTCTAAATCCCCTTTAAAAGCTTCTTATACATTGAAAGTATTAGTAATGAATTCAGTCCTTTAGATCACACCCAGGCAGCATTCCCACTGTACCGAAAAGGAATGTATTTCAATTCAAACCAGGGCTTTGGCCCGTAGTCTACAAGAATCCGGCACAGATGTATTCCTTCCAAAAAAAGATGAGAGAGAGAGAACTTGGTAAATCACTTCCATGTGGCTTCAAATATTTTTTAAAATAGTTTCTGATGAGAAGTATGATCTACTGTTTTCCAGTATAAACATCCATCTTAAGTCACCATAAAACTACTGCTGCTCTCTTGCTTCTACTTAAACCTTATGCTTTATGCATCATTCTGGGTATGTCTACATACGCATTTACTCCAGCCTAGATTTTTTCTGGTGTAAACTAATCTGGAGTAAGCGTTTCTGGGCAGGCGTCTACACCTGTGGGGGTTAGGGAGCAGATTTGCACCAAGTTTCCTGCAGCCCTGAAATTGGCCCCTGCTGCCCCTGGGGAGAGCTCCAGGCACCCCCCAGATATGAATCCAGGGGCTTGCAGGGAGCATGGCTCCAGGAGACAACTGTCTTCTGGCCCCAGGGGGATGCCTGCTCCTGGTGCAGGGACAATGTCCCCCTGCCCTGGCAGCAGGGAGTTCCTGGCCCTGGTTCTCTGATCAGAGGCAGGGGACTTGGAAAGAGCTGCAAGGGAGGGGAAGGTCCCAGACCCCTGACCCAAGCCACTAGTGGGGCAGGTAGTAGCTAGCTCACTGCTAGCTGCCCCACAAGCAGATCATGGCAAGGGGCTGGGACCTAACCCACCCCTGAAGCCCTTTCCAAGCCCTGTGCCTCAGTCCAACTGGGACATGGGGCTGGGACCTGACTCTAACCAGGACAGTTCCCAGTTTCTGCCCTGCATGCTGGGTAGAGGCTGGGCAGCTTGATCCCCGCACAGCTCCGTGAGAGTGAAGCTGCAGAGGGAACAGGCAGTGGGGCATGTTCCCCACCTAGCACCATGAGTATGGAGCTGAGGGGGAACAGAATGTGGGGCTTATTCCCTGCCCAGCTCTGTGAGTGCAGAGCTGAACAGGGAACAAGCTTTCCAACCTGTTTCCCCGCCAGCTCCATGCTCACATTGCTGGGTGGGGAACAGGCTCCCCTGCCCCCACTAGCAGGGAGCTCCCAGTGCTGGCTCCATTACTGCAGGGCCGA